AAAGAAAGAAAGAAAGAAAGAAAGAAAGAAAGAAAGAAAGAAAGAAAGAAAGAAAGAAAGAAAGAAAGAAAGAAAGAAAGAAAGAAAATGTTTTCACCTTTTCATGCAATATACATTTCAGAGAAATCTTTGTACAGCTGGACATTAATTGATTGGCCAGCCTTTTACCTTTCATGAAAATGGTCACTCTCACGTTTCATCACCTCTTTCCATCAAACTAGGTCCACCTGAAGGTGATCGGTTAGATGCATTACTGATAATGCATATTTATTTATTCTTTTAAATGAAAACCCATGAGAAAACATAATTTTCCAGATAAGCTCATGCCAGCTAGGCTAATAGACACTAAACTAAAAAGGAGAGTAAATGTATATCAGAAATGCAGTTAACTGACAATCAGACACCAACTCCTAACACTCTTTTTTCTATCCAGAGGAAGTGTTTATCAGGGGCAATAACGTCAGAATGACAACACATACGCAATCCTGCTATCACACAATGCCGCCATTATACACCTCATCCTGAGGTCTGATGCACATGCATACATTGCAGCATTTGCATGATGATGTCATCATCCATATATCATGATTTTATTCCTCTTGCCTCCCCCATAGACACTGATACCAACATGTTAACTTGACAATTAATCCTACTGTCTCAATCATATCAATCTCAATTAAAAGTGAATGGAACTGCATTTGCATGTGGCAAGTTGTACCTTCCATGTTGAAATGGAGAATGCATTTAAAATGACAGTATCTATTCAATTAGAAGCGAGTCAGAGTAGATCTACACCAGGTTTCAGATACACTGTTTACATATCACTAGCTTAGTTCTACCCATATGCTAGGCAATGTGAATGAAGAATTATTACATTAGATTTGCATCAGGGTTGACATATACCATCAGACACCTTTGAATTGTTATGAGGTCCTGCCATCACTTCTTCAATACATTCTGTTTCTGGAAACCTAGGACCTTGGATCTAGAACCTAGGACATCCTGATAAGAATTACCTGTTGTCCTTCTGAATCAGCCATTTAGGGCATTCCATGTTAATCATCATTCAAGAACTGTGAAGCTTAAAGAACTTTAAGTTAGGTTCTAGATTTTGAACTAGATTTTGAACTAGTTGCCTGAATGATATAACACTAGAAAACCTGATTTGAAACCCATGAATTAATAGCCAACAGAAGGGAATGCCATTGATTATGTCTGACAGCTCCAACCTATCTAATAACTTGATAGATCAGGCCCATCCTAGTCCAGCATTTTGTTTTCTCACAGTGACTAACCAAGTGACTCTAGAATGCTTCCAAGCAGGAGATGAAGACATACCCTCACCCACTATTGTTTCTTTGTAATTGATATTTGAAGTTAGGGTAACATTAAGTCTTCAAGACTAATAGCTTGGAACCTCCATGTATGCATGCTGGTGGCCATTAACATCTTTGTGGTAACAAATTCCATAGGTTAATTATTTATGAATAACTGTTTTCCTTTCCGTCTTATAAATTTCCTTTCAGCAAGCTTTACTAGAAGAAGCCTGGTCCTGGTGTTTTGAGAAGGAGAAGGAGAAGGAGAAGGAGAAGGAGAAGGAGAAGGAGAAGGAGAAGGAGAAGGAGAAGGAGAAGGAGAAGGAGAAGGAGAAGGAGAAGGAGAAGGAGAAGGAGGAGGAGAATTTTCCCCGTCCTTTTTCTGTGTTTCTCAAAGGTGTAGAGGACATAAATAAAAGTATTTGCCTCTTGAGCATTTACAGTTGGTATGTACATTTGATGCTACTGTATGTCACCTTGGAGTCATGAATATAAACATGAAGTCTTAGATTTAATACCTATGCAAAAGTGTCCTATAAAGCCATGTAAATTAGACCAGAAATTCACTGCTAACAAAAGCTACCTCACATAAGAAAATTTAATTTATATTAACAGATATATAGCAAACCACTTACATTAGTATTTATGGTTTACTTTAGATTCTATAAAATAGTATATTCAGAAGTCCAGGTTACAAGTACTACAAATTTGATAAATACTTTTTTTCCCCCAAAATTGTTAGGATCTTTTGAATTATGTGTCTGTTCAAACTAATGGGACAATTCTGATACACAGAAATATCAGGGCTTTATGAGTTAGCAAGAGTATTTTGGTAAGCAATAAAGAGACAAGGAAATTAACTGAGAACTAATGAAGAAGATATTGTATTGACATAAGATGATGGTGATGTGGTGGTGGTGATGATGATGATATCAATAATAGTTTGGTTATTATAAACACTATCCTTGACATCATACTTCTAGTAATGGAAGTTTCTGAACCATCTTCCAGCGTAAACTCATATGTAACCACTTCCTGAAACATAAACATGGGGTTTTTCAGGCTACAAATAATTACAACCAGCTATCTCTATCCAGGTAGGTTTGTAGGTGGTATTTTTAGCTTAAGAGAGTAAAATTCACTCATTCTACATAGTACATTTCTACTTCTAAGAACAAAGGAGAAATTTTTAATATCTTCCCAAACATGTAGAATATCTGGAAAAATCACCTATTAACAGTACTTCTGTGATGTGTGCATAGGATTAAGGTCTATTGGCCTTACCCAGTCCATTATTATGGGCAAACACTGATTAAACACTTTTACTTTCTCTCCAGGGATCTTATGAAAAAGAGAAATAGAGCACCCTGTCATCAGCATATTGATGGTGTGGCACTCTTAAGCTCCAGATAACCTCACTTGTCTGTTTTATGTAGATGTTAAATAGGTCAAGCATTAAAAGAGCCTTGCAAGAGCCAAAGCATGCTTGCCATGTGATTAAAAATTATCTTTTTTGGAGAATAGCCATCTTTTGGTATCTTTAGCAGCTCTGAATTCCTAGATACACACCTAGGAATCTCCTAGATACACATCCCAAGCTCTGAAACTCCTAGATATATATCCCAAGAATCTCCTTTTATTTAATAATTATCTTATTATCAAGTTTCATGGATTTATAATGAAAAACATCAAATATTTTAAGTGTATGCTTATGTATATGTCTGCATGTGTGTGTGTGTGTGTATTTCCTAACCCTAACCCATGCCATCCAGATTCCCCACAGAAACATAATCTACCAACGGTTTGAAATAGTCAGCAAGATTAGATTGGCCTGGAATATTTCCTGCCTCTCTTTTTCATCTCCCATTTCACCACTGCTTTTTGTTCTTTTCTAGCCAGTTCTGCTAACCCAAAGCACTAGGTCTTCATTTCCATGAAATAAGTTGTTCATAATACTTCATATGCCATATTTAGATGGAACATTGGGATGAAGAGACAATGTTTGTACAAGCTTCATTTAACACTAATTAACATAGTGTGTTTCACTGCAACTTACATGAAGATCCTTCAGATTTTTGAAATCTCCATCCTTTATTTCAGTTATTTTATTGTTCTGTAAGTCCAATAGAGTAGTATCTGGGGGAAGATCTTTTGGAACTTCCTTCAAACCTGTAATAGGGGGAAAAGGTGATTACAAGCAAAAGAATAAAGATACATAAAAGAAGATAAAGTTAATTATATTTTAGACTTTCAACTTAACCAGATCTACAGCAAACAAATACTAGACTGTATTATCTAAAAGTTATGAAGATTTTTAAGAGCTGTTCTTATTCCAAATTGCCTTTAGAACACACAATGGTTTATCTAACTCTGCATCTTTCATTTGATAACAAGCAATGCTAACAATAAGAGTTTGGAGAGTAGATAGATTCCAGTTCTCTCTGAGGAAATGTTTCTTATTAAAACAGGACAGGGGAATACTACCATCAAATTACACACACACTAACCAACTGTTAATTGTAGTCCCATATGCAATTTTTAATATAAATCTTTGTGATCCTTTCTCTCTCTTTTTTTAATCTATGGAGGGTTTTTGAAAGCCACATAAGGATTAAATGATATTCATACTAATGTGAAAGGATTAAGAAGCCAGTCCTATTCATGTTTCTCCATTTCATTAGTATCTTCAAAAGTCCATCAGTTTTCCATTTTTCACCATTTCAAACTAGTGACTCCTTTATATAAAGTTAGGTCAAGGTTTTTAAGTACATTCAGTCATTCTGAAAATTCCATGTTCTAATTATGGTCAGAATTAAACTGGAATTCTGTACAACAATCAGAAGCCAGACTTGGAAACTTTCTCAATACTATATTCTACTGGCTTCACCAGACAGATGTTTCAAGAAAGGCCCTGTTTGGGTTCAGTTACTTATCATACATCTGAAGATAATAAATTGTGTACAATCAGTATAAGTAGATCAAGTGGGTGTTTAATTGGATATATATCCTTCCACTAAAATAAACTGTGAAATTATTTCTGATTGTAATGATCACAATTTCAAGACATTTTTTAAAAAGTCTAATATATTCACATGACTGGTCACAATGTAAATGCTCACTTTATTAAATTAATGAAAACTAAGAACATTTCTTAATGAAACTATATGAATTGCATCATTTCTTTTTGAAACTGAGAACTCAGGTTGTGGGTGTTTGTGTGTATGTGAATATGAACACAGATGTCTTTGTGTTGTGGAAGAATATATTCCTTTCTGCTTAACTGTGAATGCTTGAATACCATCAGGCAGATTGTTTAAAAATATCTGTGCAGCCTTTTTCAAGTAGCACAATTTAGATGGAATTAAAATCATGTAATACCATCTAGCTTCACTCACAGTCTAATGAAATATTGCACATTCTTGTAGAATATGTTTCTGGGTTCCATATTATTGCTGCATGACAAAGAAATAGGATCACACAACTATGGAATGTAGAAATAGGGCTTTCAATATTGTTTTGTAATAGAATCACAAATGCTAAAAAGATAGTTAAAGTGACTTAACTGGTTGTTCATTAGTTTAATTTTATTTTAGCAGATTTATATCTCATCTTTTTTTCACCAAAGAGCCAGTAGTGGCATGAATGAATTTCCAGATGTCTCCCTTCTTGGGACTGAACAGAGTTAAAACAATTTAGAAGTATACTATATCAAGTACTCAGATTCATCTATGTAGCAATTTCTTTTTGGCCCTGCAGTATTCCATCTTTTCTTTTTCCCAGTGTTCAAAATGCACAAACCATGGGCACTAGTTTGTGTTCAATAAGTTGTGATCAATCATGTAATAGAGCTGAAACCTGGTATGATCTACTGCATTGTCCTTCAGTGGGGGCTTTGTTCCGGGTGCCTAATTTGATGCATAGGATGCAGTATATTCTATCAAGACATAAGTTGCAACTATGAGCAAAGAGAGTGCTTAGAATGTGGGATATACTAATCCTTAATGGAATGTTGTTTATTCTGATGGTGCAAACCATTAGTGCATCTGGAATCTCATGTACTATGGATGTCTATCTGCTAATTAGGTAATCCTTTCCAATACAGGTAACCAAAACTACTGTACAAAGGCATGATTTAGAGCACTTGCAGGAGAAGGGGAGTAGAAGCAGATTTCAAGGGAGGGATAGGGGAGCAAACAGCAAGTGGTGAGAGGGAAGATTGCCACTTGGCCAAGAAGTGGCCATGGAGTTTTGAACTCTTGGGCTCACTTTATATGCAGAGGCATATAATATTACTGACATAGGCCATCTCCCCTACAAGGGTTTGGAGATCAAATAAATAGAAAACGTGATGATTGCTACTTTATGAAGAGATAATAATACTTGTATACCTGATCCTTAAAGTTTCTGCTGTGCTTTGTTATTTTTGCTTAATTATTTGAAATACATACTTTTTGCAAAAATCATCAGAATTAAACTTCTTACATTTTCCCTCAAATCTCATATTGCCTAACCCCTTACAGTGATTAGAGTCACACATTTGATTTCCCCCTCTTCTTTATTATCTGTATTCTGTCTGTTACACCATCAGCTACTACAACACCACAAACTACAATACTCCTGGATTCTTTTCTCTAAATTTCTGTGCCACTTCTATCCAATACTTTTTCAGAGAAGGTATTTCACTGCTGTTTTCATATTGTTTAAACCACAGATTCCTAGTCTTTAATTCAAAATCTAATCCTATAAATTGTTAGGTTGCAAAAGTTGGCTGTGGCTTTATCTTGGTTTTAATGCCTAATGACCAATCCTTTCGGTTGATTTTTTAGTATTAAGATAAGACAACTTGCCATTACATGTTCTCTCTTATCTGTCAAATTTCTTACAAATACAGCTTGAATAAACTTGTATAATTCATCCTTTCTGAATTTTTAGCAGATTATAACCTATGAAGCAGATCAAACCTTAAGAAGGTAATGATTGATTTCCTGGAAGACCCCTGCATTTATTATTCACATATGACTCAGTCTGAGCCTGAGGACCTATAAATGTTCATTGTTTTTTCTATCTTTTGTAGAATATATTCTAGCTGGCAATTAAGTTTAATTTATATATATGGGGAACATTGCCAACAAAGTCTACTATAGTTATATTTCCAGGAAGGAGCTTCTGAAAAATGAAGGAACTGGTAACATGGAAGTTGGAAGAGTAATCATGAATATTAACTATCTCCAGAACTGAAGGGTTATTTAAAAGTTTATTTAAAATCACAGTAATAGAAACTTAGAATATCAGGAAAGTACTATCAAGTCCAAGAGGTTCACAGCATGGTCAGTAGGCAGTGTGGTAAAGGAAGTATTAGAGAAAGGAAGTTGTTTGCAAATGGTAACAAAAATAAACACAAACTTGCAAAAACTGCAAAACTGGAAAAAAAATAATAATGGATGCAAAGCAGGATTTTAAAGAAGATATAATTACAAACCTTAAGGTTAAATAGTTTCCAAATCTTTAAATACATCAGCAGGAGAAAATCAGCTAGAAAGATTAAAGAAAGACAAGTTTTCCAGAGTTTTCAGTATGGCCTAAATATGAACATTTAGCTTTTTTTCCGAAATACTGAAAACAAACAGATCACTAGATTCACTCCAGATGGTATCCATCTGAGAGTTCTTAAAGAATTCAGCTATGAATTTGTTTACTTTCTAATAAATATATGTATCATGTTGCTAAGAGTGTCTACATCAGAGAAGACTGGGGAACCAACATGATGGAAAACAGAATAAGAATAAATTATGCATTCTTGCCAAAGGAACCATATAAATAGTTAGATTCCTCAAGGATCTGTATTGGGAGGGTTGCCTTATAATAAGCCAGAATTAGTGGTGAACTATGAAATGGCTAAGTTCTTCCGGAACCACCTAAATTCAAATAAGCAATTTAACTCTTACAAGTGAGGTACTAATTCACTCTTAAAAGTGTGGTACAGATTCTTGAAAATAAAAGACACTCAAAACATAAGAATATGAATGGAATTATAGTTATGGATTCAATAAAGCATTACAGTTATGGATGCAATAAAGAATCAGGAAAAAGATTTATATTTTATCCATTAAAACCAATTATGAAAACCCTATCTCCACCCAAATTGTTATACAGTTAAGTCAGTATTAACACTGACTACCAAATTCTGCCAAACATGCGATTAAAGAATATTTTCACATTTAATTGGTTAGTTCAAGCAGAAATTCAGTTTATGCAAGAGGTTTATGAATTACTATCAGTGTTTTGAATTTTGGTAATAATATCATTTTCTACTCTTGCCCATTAGAAATTGGGAAATCTGGAGAGCAGCAATTAATCTTGTTACACCATAGCAACATTAATTCAGCTGGAGTCTTGGGGCTCCCACTACTGTTTGCAAAGCAATAGTTTGCCTGATGTGGGAATCAGAGAAGGCAGATATCCTATTCATTCAGCCCAGTAATTTAGAATAAAGCAATGTGTACTTATGAATACGAGCAACACATATAATCTCTTAGAGTTATAAAAATATTTATGAATTGGGATATAATCAGAATCTTTGAAAGGACATTTGAACAGACAATCTGTGGAGCTCTGCAGTACCCTTTGGAACTTACTTACTTGTGGCAGCACAATATTTGGAATTACCTAGCAGAGCAACCTAACAATTTCCGCTCTTATAGTAAGGACAGTATTTATCTTCAGAATTCTATAAATATAAGTAAATGGAAACATTGGATTGCAATAAAATTATACTCCAAATTCCAGAGCATCATTTGGAGTCATTTCAACCATTTAATGTTAAAAACATAGCTATATTGATTAAGAAAAAGTCAGCCACGTATACAAGATATGTAAATTCTTTAGAAGCTCCTAAAAATATCACAGGATTTTTAACTTAAACATGCTTCTCTTATTTTTTTGCATATTAAGCTTTTTAACAAGCAAAGAAGCATGTTAACTGTATTCAGGTATTTCCAAAACTGAAGTAAGGAAATATAATTCAGGAAATAGTTCAGTGTGGATGAATATGGATGACTATTGACCTTTGACTTAGATATAGGTAAAAGTTACAATACTATTTTAACGTTTTTTTCAAACATTTATAAGGCAAACCTTTTAAAAAGTCTTAGATGGATGGTCTGATACAGATATTATGAAAAACATTAGATATTCTTATGTATTATCAGCATAGTCTAAAAGTTATATCCAGAAATGCATCATATGCTCAGAAAATCAGTATATGCTACTGTTTAAACTTTTCATATAATTCTTTTGATTAGATTCCAGTAGGAAATTTAAGAAAACTTAAAATTCCCTTCTACGTTTTGGGACCAAGAGCCTTTGGTTAATTCTCATATTTTATTTTCCCATGTATTGTTTTTCATATAAAAACAATACACCTCATAATGTGGACACAAATACTAAAATAAGATTTTGTGATGTAGGGGAAAAAAAAAACCTTAAGGGCTTTCAGTTCATGGCTAAGTTTGTCATCATTGCCATTATTTATGGAATATCACAGGCTTTCCACTTTATGGCATCAATATTTGTCATGAAACTTGTTTTAGAAATGAGTGATCAGGCCATAATGGCACTTTCAAGTAAATGAATGATATAAGGGTAAATTTCAACTTTCTGGCATTGTGAATGGTTAAGAATGACTGATGAATACAAGTATTTCTTGGTTTTCTGACAATTACATGATTCCTATATGTCTATCTTTTTACTAAACAGCTAATGGCTCAGGAAAATGACCTCTTTACAACTTAAAGGAAGAAGCAATAAAAGATAATTAATCTATATTAGACATTAGAAACAGTTTGGGATTGGAACAAAGAACTGAAAGTGCAGAGAAGAACTGAAGACTGAAAACAACTTGGAATGTTAAGTATCAGATATAGGTATATGCTAGAACTGTTAATGCCTCTTGCCTTGTCCTTTGTGCTGCTTCCATATTTGTAAATAAAATAATATTACAAAATTGCTGTAAATATCTGGAGATGTTTCATGTCAAAAAAGTTATGTCCAGTATGTTATCCCTGCAAGTTACTATGGTTGAATGAAATTGGAAAAACTTTAAAGCATAATGGCATTATAGCCTTTATATTCAATAGTTTTCATTCAAGTTCTGATTACTTGTTATGGGATACATTTGACTGAATTGTTTTTCTTCTGTCCTTGCCAATCTTAGAAAGACACATCCCCAAAGTGAGTAGAAACAGGACAAAACAGAGATTTATTGATGCTAAATGAATAAAATGCAGTTAAATTGATGAATTTATTTAATTCATCCCAATGATGATCCCAAGTCCCAATGATCATTTCTCCTTTATTTAATTACATCCCTTTTGTTCCATCAAATGCAGAAAATGTTCTCCTGAAGAATAAAAGATAGGATAAAATGAATGGAAAGGAAATGGAAACAAGACCTTACTTTTCTACATGTTGATAGGATTACTCAATATAACATCACATATTTCAATTTATTCAGAGGAAATTCAACACATATGCCAGTGTTACTGCCATAGAATAATTCCGTTCATTTAAATCAGCCCAGGCAAACATTTTATGAGGTAACATTTCATTCAACTTACCTAAATCGGAACACTGGACAACTCGGAGGTGGCACTGACAACGAAATGGGCACACTGGGATAGGAGGATACCCTGGAGGTTCAGGAGTTCCAGATCCTGCTTCATCTTCAAGCATAAAATCAAACAAGCCTCTTTGATAGAATGGTTTGGCCAAGCAAAGTGGCAGGAGTAGAAGAAAGAAGATAGCCAATTTCATGATTTAGTTCATCTACCCAGCAGAGCAGTAATGAATCTAGAAGTCAAAGCAAAGATGTACAAGATGGAAACATAATTTGGGTATCTTTTATACATTTATCATTTAAGAACTGTATACTTACAGTTGGCCCCAAGCCAGTTTGATCTAATGGTTAAGGCACCAGGCTAGAAACAAGGAGTCTGAGTTCTAGTCCCACCTTAGGCATGAAAGCTGGTTGGGTGACTTTGGGCCAGCTCACCTCACAGGGTTTTTGTTGTGGGGAAAGTAGGAGGAGGAAGGAGTATTAGGTATGTTTGCCACCTTGAGCTATTTATAAAAACAAGAAAGGTGGGATAAAAAAATCTTTAAAAAAAACCTTTCTGCATCAGCTTAAGATGTGTATGTTTATCCAGATGTCTGGTCAGAGGTGTCCAAAGGAACCAGTGCTTTTGTCAAATTGACAACAGAACCATTGTGTTGTTACAATGCAAACTCCACCTACTTCATACATGTGTGTGATGCTACAATACATGAAAAAAGGAGGTAGGACTTGTACTACAGCAGCATGATGCAGCTTTTGTTATTTGACACCTCCTGACTCCCTGAAAATGCCTCTACTTCTGGCATTTCTGCAACTTCTGTTCTTGCATGGTATTGTTATTATATGATACATCACATAGTTTTGGAGGGTTTTATGGGTTTTAATAAATGTTTTAGAGGACTTTTACTGAATTGTTTTAAAACATTTTTAGCATTGTGGTTTTTTCCTTTTAAATGAATGGAATGAAAAGAAAACATGGGCATATCTGTCAGTCTATCCACATGACAATAAAAAGAGGGGTTGTGTTTTCAGAATTTATAGAAAAAACAGAGAACCATTGTAACCCAGAGTTGCACAAAGCAACATGGACACAATTGTAAACATATCTGTTTGATTTGACTTGTGTTTTATTAATAACAGATGCCTTTATTGGAACTCTGTACAATAACGATGAGAAGAAGCCATACATACATTTCAACTGCTAGTTCTTAGTTAATATAGCAACAGGACTGAAATATTTTGTTTGTATATTGTACCTTAGGATGGTTATTCTGAAGTTCTGAAACTTATGACTGGGGCTAGAGTTGGTGGGGTTGGTTTCTTCTGGTTTTCTGCACTTAACAAAAGTGATCAGGCTGGTAAGATCATGTGAAAGGAAGCTTTAATTGCTTAAAATGAACTTTATGCATCATTTTAAAGGGAGAGGAAAGTCTACAGCTATCATAATAGTGCAAATGACCTTTAAGCAGCTAAAATGGTAGGGGACCTACATCCACATTAGTAATTTAGCCAACTGAGTTTTAATTGAAGATCCAGGTCTTCCAGGGTGAATGAGGCAAGAAGAAATGGGAGGAGCCTAGCAAGTTCCTATAAATAGGGCTGTAATACTCCTCTACTGCAACTACTTAAGTTGGATACAACAGCGAAAACAAAACACAGCTCACAGAAAAGACTGATATTATTGCTAGAGAGTGTTAAAATATAAAGCCATATTTCAAGCCATAAATCTTCATTGCTTTTAGTGCATTTTAGTGGTCTCTGAGCTTAATTGCATGGAAATTAGAGTGGAAAGTAATGGATTTATAGACTTCTATATTTAAAGAGAAATCCTGGTACAATATAGAGAATGAAATCCAATGAGATTTTCCAGAGGTGGAATTTTTTCTAGGCTTAGGACAAGGAGGACGCAATTTCCTTCCTCCCTGTAGCCCTCTAGACACAGAATGTAGAAAAGAAGGAAAAATTTCTTTGTACAAATTGATTTCCATTTGTGTAACATTGGATTATCCTCATGATTCCGTCACCCATACATGCACTACCTATTATTCCCATAATCATCTTGTGAGGAAATCAAACAGGAAGGAAAAATGCCCAAAGCCACCCCTTATGTAATTTGCAGCCAGATCTCCCTGGCTCAGTCCTAACACTCTAGAGCAAACCACCTCAACTCAAAGTCATCTAGATAATTTAGACTAGAGCTAGAGTTTCCAGAATTTCCAGCCAATAGACTGATTCTGGATTAACTGATTCATTAGTTAATCTATATAGTCAGCTATATTTAGTGTATAGTGAATAAATATAGCTGGTATTTCTATTTCAAAAGAATATCATGTGAACACATGTTCTATGGAATTAATTGAAATATATAATACAATTGTCATTTCTTTCACCAAATCAGTCATGGTATACAGACTAATTCATATGATGATGATGATTTTTTAAATTTTCTAATAGTAATGAAATATCACGACACTATAAAAACAAAGGGGTGCTTTGGATTAGAGAGTGGAATGTACACTTTAAAGGATTGCTTTTAATTAAAAATGTAGCAATCATTACTAAAATTAATGTTCATTATTGGTTTGGAGGTTCTGTATTCATAATCGGTATATGGTTATCACATTTAAATCAGAGCCAAAAGGAAGTCTCGCAAAGCAGCACATCCTGTATTTTTCTACATGTATTTGAGTTCCCACAATAAACTGTAGCAATTCATCATTTATTTTGAAGACAAACTTTTATTGAAATGTCTTAAAAAGCATTTTTCATAGTCTACTAATTAAACAAGATCATGCTTTCATTAAAAATGGGCCTTTACTGCTGTATCCTTTAGTAACTGTAAGATTCTTTCATCAACTTCTCCATGGCTGCATAATGGGAATAAGTCCCACTGAGCCAAATGAACTTAGGAAATTTGGATAGGAAATTCAGAATAAATATGCATGGTTATGAAGAAACATACAAAGCCTTTGAAGTCCTCAAGAGGATAACAATTGCTATTTTTAGTGTTTTAATTCACACAAAAGAAGATCAGTAAAGTGAAGGCAGGAGAAACACTAACTAGAAGAAAGAAAGATATATAAACACGCAACAGAAACTACAAACCAGCAGTGGGAAACATTATATTGTGAAGCATTACACTGAGTCCAGAGGTGGGGGGTGGTTTAATTCCATACTGCATTATGTTGTGGTATTTCTATCCAGGATTTTAGATCTCTTCCTGCCACATGAATCAGCTGTAGCCACAAACCTTGGAACAAATGTTTAACTTAATTGACTTGTGGAAGACAATACTTTATCTTACCTTTATATAGCTCTATTTTACTTCAGAATTACCCTTTGAAAAGCTATAGTAACAAGAAATGGATTGCATTTTACAGCAGGTACCAAATCATATTAGGTATTGATGAGTTGAATAAGATATTCTGCAGGATGCATTCAGTCTTAGAGAAACATATTAATATCCACTTTCAAACAGGAGGAATGTCTGCCTCTACAGTTCATTGCCTTTTACCACTGTACAGCTATGTTTGTTTATCTTTAGTGCTTTCAGTTGAGAATTTCCTTGTCTAAAATATCTAATCAATGCTTACGTATGAAATATACAACTTCACAATGTTTAGAAAGAGCTTGGATTCCACAGGCAACGGATTCCCTCTTTAAGTTAAAATAATAACTGGGAAAGAAACCCTTCCAGTTTTTCAAGTGCAAACATGAAGTTTCACGGTTCTTTCCTCTTACAATATCACCAACTCCAAACTTCACAATGCAAAAAAATCCATTGGTGCAAAATGCCTTAAGAAGCTTACCAACCCTTCTAAAAAAAAAATAAAAATCAATCTTCCTAAATGCAAAATATGGTTAGGAAACAGCAACTGTTCTCAATAACATTCTCAAATATTGCAAATACATTTTTTTCCCCACAGTTAAGAAGTTTTCTTATATTCTCAGGCAGATTTTGCTTTTTAAAACTGAAGTTCCTGAGAACATTCAGAATAATTATTAATGAAAGCCATACCTTTTAATCCAGGGATTTGCAACAGACAGCCTCGGAGCTGAGATGCAATTAACCGAAAAGATTGCAGCCAGGCAGAAGATCCTGCAGGTGTGGAAAGGAGGAGGGGTAGTTGAGTGAGCCGTGACTGTCACTTGTCAGGAACCCCTCCTGCTTCTTCTATTCCATAGCCCAGTTAAAAAGCAAGGTTTTCCTCAATGAAAAGACTCCAGGCTGCTGACACCCACAGTACATCATATGGTAATGATATGTCTCCTGTATTGTAGCCAGAAACTTTATCAGCCCCCCTTTTTTTCCCCTTTTCCTTTATTTCTTTTTCATGTGTTCAACTTCCTAAATGCTTTTACAGATCAGCATGAATACTGGATATCAATTTTTTCCCTTTAGCATGCCCAGCTACATACTTAATTTGAGGACTTTCTAGCTTTGGAGCATTTTTTCCCAGCGTATATATCAGAGGAAAAAAATTATTTAGAAAGCTTTCTTGTTTAGGGTATATGATACTCAACGAAGTGGAAGACAAGTACAATTTGAGTGACGTGATATAAAATTACAGTGGAAAGTAAAGGCTAAATAATAGATTTTCTTGCAAGTATCTTTATAATAGTAATAAAGTAAGCCAATAGGTTTTTATAAAACGTCTGAAACTGCAGTCCTATGTCCCTTAAGGTAAACTGTACAGAGTGTACTTCTAGAATGATGCTTATCATGTATGATCACAAATGTGTCCTACTAGAACTTTAAATTAAGTGAAAGTGCAGAATAGGCAATTGCATGAACCAAGATCTAACAAACCTCCACCAATATAAATATCACACTTTAATTTCTTTTTTAAAATTAGAAACTATATGTAGCATAAGTTTTTTTTGATGGGTATGTTGTAATACGACTCTCTGAACTACAAAATCTGTACGTGTCCCAGTGAAAACAACTACAATAATTGGCATTTAAATTTACCCAGAATTCCTATTTTAGAAAAAAAAAACCCACCTAATTCAGTGTTGTTTGCTTCACAGCACATATGGACAGAACTGAGAGGCAACTGCCAAATAAGTACATGGAGAATGGAACTTCCCTGTATTCTTACCTTTCTTGTATAAAGTTGGTGGATTTGTGACTCTGTGTTTAGACTTGCACCATTCTCCATCCCCTCAGGCTGCAACCAGGTGTGAATGCTATCAGCCTAAAGTTATTTTAAGAGAGAAAGAGGGGGAGAGGGAGAGATGTGTTATTAGACCTGGAGGTCTGGAAGTATTAGTTAGTTCATTTATCTGAACATGATTAAAAGGAAACCAGAAACTTAAAAATCATTAGGTTAAGAGGTTCATGCAAATTTTACTTCTAAGGGCTCCGTCAGAGAAAGCTGCTTTTTACATTTGTATATGGCTTTGTTTCCACTCCCTAATCCTTCCAAAGCATTTTTAAGCTGGCCATACAATTGTCTTCCCTCCCGCCAACCTTGAAATGTTGAGAACAGGCAGGCACCAATCACTGTCTCTTCCAACCAACCAATAAGAACGTCAAATACAATCCCTCAGGGTCTTGTAATGGCTTCTGAGGTAACAAAAACCCACATCTCCCACTCCATATAGAAAAGGGAAAAAACTCAGCACATGCTATAACCATGACTGTACTTTCAATGTATCATCTTGGGTGTGGGGGTGGCATTACATCTCACTTAAACACAGGAATTGGGAAGGAAGGTGAGGCATGAGTGCAATGAAGGGAGGGAAAATTAACCTAGGCAGGTTTTAGTTTTATTTTATTTATTTTTTTTAAGAATTGTCAACATGACTAGAATATGGTTGGGTTCATTGATGAGACTGCTTGAATCTACAGTATTAGAGAGCTTCAAATGCAGGTTGTGGGAGATAACCCCAAGCCCCTGGAGCACCACTATCAAAATTGCAAAATGGAAATGATGCTATTTGAGCTGTCTCACCTCTAAGCTTCAGCTGTCCATGGGTAATGAGGTAGAAACACAGCCATATGGTGCTGATAGCAGATAGATACAAATGTGGTATGTGAAGGGGTCCCTAATGTTTTTTTTTTTTCAGAAGCATATGAGTATATTTATTCTCCATTTACCAACTCTGAGTTATTATGGGAGCTGTAAGAATTGAAATTCCATCCATGTGGAGGTACAGAGCATCCATGATCTACAATTTGACAAGGGAGTAACCTGACCATGGAAAAGGCAATGTCCTATTATCTCATCTGCTTGGTAGTAAAGACAGGGTCAAGTGTGTGCCTAGCCATGTATGTTGGGGCCACAATTACTTGTGATAAGCCCATCATCACTATGGATGCCATTAATTCATAAGCTGCACCAAATCCCTCCCCCAGGGCATAGAGGTTGAAGTCATGCAAAACTGAGAAACTTGGGATCTCCAACAGCAGCCCCAAGATATCATCTAGGTGTTAATGAAGTGCTTCGACTAGGTAGTTGTAACCAACCATACATTGGAGTGCATCATTGTGAGTTTGTCATGATCATGGCTGCAGCTCAATACCAGCCTTGGTGTTGTGGTGGCCATGGGACCTAAAACCCGGGTAAGCAGATTTCCAACAGGGCTACACCCTTGTTGCTCCCCTGCCAGGTCTCAGTTACACAGACCAGGTATGTACATTTGTCCATCACCTTTTTCTTTCATGGATGCCGTCTTATTCTGCACATGCAGTAGCTTCTTTTACCAGCAGAAGCTGGACACCAAGGTACTCCAAAATTCAGCCACCTGGGCCTAAGACTGCATAAAAATGAAATAATAAATAAAATTGTGCCACATTTATTTTAAGGCTGATTCTCTCCCACCTACCATACCCCAATTCTACTGTGATGTCTTTAATAGGCCAAGAAATGGATTCTTAATAAAGCAACTAAAACGTTTTTCTTCAGTAGTCTTTTGAAAACCATTTCGAATATGCTTTGCATCAAGAAAGTAAAGTGATTGGTAATTACACAGTAAAATATGTATAAAATGTTTCCACTAAGTATACTGGAGACAGCAGATAGGCTTTATATTGACTAAAATACTTCTTGGACCTCAAAGGGAAGGTTCAGTCTGTCTGGAAACATTTTATAGCTTCTTCTGTGAAATCATATCTGAAAAGATCTTACTCAAAAATGAAAACACAATATGGACTTGTGTTTGTAATTAAAGCAGAGAGGACAGTTAAATTGAACCTACTTGTATTTCACGTCTATGTTTTAGTTCAATAATATCTTATATTTCATCAAGGAAAAATACAGACAACATACTGTTTTACAATAAAGCTTTGCACAGCATTGATTAGTATAGCTCAAGGACATATTAAGCTAAGGTTTGATCGGCCTTGTACTTTACAAGATTTTCTTATGTAAACGTTAGCCTCTAGAAATGAAAAAAAAAAAATCTAACTTCTGTTTTACTCAGTCCTGGTAATGAACAAAAGATTTTTCCACTTTTGTTATAGTGAAGGCTTGATTTGTGAAAAGAATTGCATCATATAGAGTAAAATTATCTGGGTGTTAGATTATACTGAATAAAGTTGAACCCAGGCAAAATGAAATTATTCTTTCTTCATCACAATTCTATATCAGATGTAATGTTATCTCTTGAAAGGGTGGCACTGTCTTTGAGTGACCACGTTGTGGCTTAGGAGCCCTTCAGGACTCACAAGTTCTGCTGGATGGACAGGTAGAGGCATTGACTGCTCATTCATTATAGTGCTTCCTGGAGTGGAAAGATCTGGCTACGGTCACCCATATGGTAAGTTTTCTGCAATGTACTTTCCAGGGGCTGCCTTTGAAGACTATATAGTTGGTACAAAAATCAGCAACTTGATTGTTGATAGTATTAGTTGCCATGATCACATTATACCTATCTTGTAGCCCTGCACTGGTTATCAATAGGTTTCTGGGTGCAGTTCAAATTTAATGCTAATTTAGATTTATAAAGCTGTATATAGCTTGGCCTCAGGATACTTGCAGGACCACCTACTCCAGCCTGTGTTGGCCAAGGAAGTCCTTCTGGGAGAAGATGCTGATGCTGTTCCATTTTCATGAGGTGAAGAGGGCTAAGGCTAGAAAGCATTGTTTTCTATCATTCTTTGGAATCATCTCCATCTTGACTGGTCTTCTTGGTAAATGGCCTTCTGGAAGCCTATGAAGATGAACTTTTTGGATTCCATTATTAATCATTATTGTTTGTTTGCTTTTTAATGGTAAGTGTTATGGGTTTTGATACTACGAGTTGTTTCTTAATTTCTGATGCTTATGGGATAATTTTACTCTATCTTCCAGTATCTAGTTTGTTGTACTTGTTTTCTTTAATGTGGATGCTTTACTGTATAAGAGATTAAAAGATTCAGTAGCATCATCATCACCATCATCACCGGGGGGGGGGGACTGTGAGCTACATTGACCAAGCACTATGAATATGAAACTATTAAGTATCTACTTAACTTTAGAATCTTTCCTCACATACTGTTTGATCCATTTTTTAAAGATTTGCTTGCAAGATTGTGATTCATTCTTTTAAGACTGGCTTGCGAGATGGTAGGAGATCCATACAGTGTAATAATCAGAGTTATTATTTCCAATAAGAATGGTATTCCATGCTGATGGCAGAATTTACATATCCAAAAGTTCTGTGAATGAATCTACAAATGTAGCAAGATCCATTTGACAAATCATCAATAGGATAAACCAAAAGTTGCAAAATCCATTTTGAAAATAGATGTTATGTTTAAAAAGTAGCACAAATAAATACATTTGCCACTTGGTATAAAATGCATGCCTTTAAAATGTATGAAATGTAATTTAATACCTATGACTCATAAGATACTTTGCATATGATGATGTCATATGCTGCGCGATCCAGGTTTGTACTGAGCCTAAATATATACATTTCAGGCTCAAGTGCTTTGTTTTTATTCACTGTGTCTAATCAAGTGGCTTTCACATTGCCAGGCTGTGGACTCCAGGGTGTATTGTACTGTTTAGCATTTAGGAATACAGTATCACACCTTGACCTGGCATCCTCCAGATGTGTGAGAACCATAAATCTCAAAATCAGGTTGGGAAAAAGCTCATATAAACTATCTGGATTATATATATATATATAATCCAGATAGTTTATATTATATTACATATTATATATGTAATATATAATTTATAATAATATAATATATGCTTCCTCCCCAGCTCCTGTCAAC